ACCACGATTTACCTCCTCGATATGATTACGAAACTGCGCCGCCGCAGCCGACGCCGGTAAACCCGGGAGCTTACGGCGCTTTCAAAGGACCTATCTGATGACACTGGACACTGGTTCAAGGACAAAATTCTTTTCTGCAGAGTAGTACCTCTGTTCAGTCGTATTATAAACTCGTCGTGGGTGATCGAGGCCGCAATGGCACACGAGCTTGATACGAAAGTCTCGAGACTCGCCAAGCTCAGCTACGGATTGAAGCTCATTGAAAGCCAAGGATTAATAGGATTGAAAAATTCAAAAGACAAATAGAGAATATACTTCTATCAAACAGATCCTGGGCCGGCGCGTCCTGGATCTCCAGACTGATGGTTTGGTTGGTTTCATCGAAGGATAATTCTAATAAGGCATCTCAAGGATGTAAAAGCGAGCAAAACGCTAGGTCAATGGTTGACGGGAAAGCACCTGGCCAAAATTGAAAGTCCTGTGTAGAAGCATGAGGAGGAATTTCCACGGGTTCAAACGAGTCAGTGGTGACGTGCCACGGCTACAGGCTTAGGATTACGGGGTATGGGTTTGACGATAGGTAGGACATCTCATGATCTCCATCCGTTACCAAGGCGGAACGACCTCTATAGTACTTTAAGTTTACTCTGTCAATAGTATTGTTGCGGTCGCGTGATCTCCTTTGCGTGCGAGTACCTAGGCATAGGTCGCTAATGATATGTTCAAGGCTAGTCACCTAGGTAATCATAACATATATCCGGTATTGGCCAAAGCTTGGTTAATGATTGGAAGAAGTGGACTAACCTCCAGCTCCTTTCTCACGTAGCAAGACATATGTAATAGAAGAAGGTCTAATATTTTTAACAATCTACAAGTAGATTAAACCCAATGGCCGGGTTGGTGCGGTGGTGCTTACAATCGATGAAATTGCTATTGCTCTGACTTCCTGGTGAGCTCCGCCTGAGGGTTCGATTCCCTCGGTGGCCCTATCAACTCTTTTTTCCCCTTCCTTTTTTTCTTATCTCCCTTTCCGGCCTTTCGCCCTCATTTTCGAGGATATTCCAACCTCTAACGTGATAATATGTGTACCCATTAACTATGAGTAGTAGCAAAGGTCATTTAAGATAGCATTTGGTCAGCGCGGGATACCACTGAGTTGAGCAGAGACGAGCCCACGCTACAAAGTCTCCAGCTGCGCTGCCAATCTTACCTGCAGCGACAAGAGACAATGTAGTCCAAAAGACTACGCCTTTATAAGAGACTAGCGCTCATATTGTGATCTTGTCAACCTACTAAGATCTAACAGCACGACTTGTCTAGGGATTCCGAGCAGCTTTGAGAATACCTAAGAATATCGTTGAGGTAGACTTAAGATATCGACTATTATAGTAAGGAGGTCTAAATGCAGGCTTCATAGATAGGTACCTAGGTATACATCCATTATATACCTGGTAGGTCTTAGTTCTGTGGTCGTAACTAATAGTTATTTCTTCACTCCAGCTGGATGTAGCTTGTCTTACTCACAATAGCATATATACTATGGCATTAACTTTGAATATGGACTAAGCAGGTAATCAAGAAAGGTAAGAAAACTATATAGTTAGGTAATTACAATAGAAAAATGAGTTTGACTGCCAGTTTGTGGTTATGGTGATAGATTTATGAATAGTGACAGTGACGTCAGTGGACACACAGTCTATTACTGTGTAAGACGAAAGCGGTGAGTTTAGACCCGCCCCCACCTGCCATTCCTTAGAGTTTTCATAGGGCAAAGGGAAGGCTTACAGTTGCCTAGTTGCCTCAGGCAACAAGAAATTGGCCCACAACGATTATTATCGCAAAGATTTTACTTGTGAAAGGACGAAAATTTCGAGACCCCACCGACAAAGCCCCACCATCTGACGAAAGCCACGACCCAGAAAAATTATGGAACCCAAGGAACTTTTATCGCCCCCCGCGCAGTTTCCTCCCACCGTCATCAATCCCCTACCATTCAACAATCTAAAAAAAAGTTCGCGGAGGATAATTGAACTTTTTTTTTCCTTTTCTTGTTTCCACAATAACATCGAGGTGTGAGAAAACAATAGTATTTCTCACACTCTTCTCGATTACTCTCCACTCATTCTTCGAGATTTACGGTCACATTCACTTGTGATCGCTATTTAAAAATCGACAACTCGCGGTCGCTATCAACAGAACGTAGCCTTAAGCGGGGTAGATTTTCTTCAGTTTTCCTCCTATTCGATCATTTCGATCATCCATCATCCATTATCCACCATCTACTATCTCCTTTTCTTACTCGGTCGGTAATAGACAAAATAAGAGGTAAAAGGCATCAAGATGGTTTCTGCATCCAAAGAAAAGCGTCTCGCCAAGAAGGCCGCCGAGGGCAAGGGCGAGAAGAAGACCCTCGTCTCTCGTTCCAAGGCTGGATCTAAGGCCGCATCTAAGAACGCGAGCGCTGCCGGTTCTGTCGCCGGCGATGACACCCCTCCCGATCTCGACGATGTTCCCGCAACTGATGACAAGAAGATGGAAAAGGCTAAAGCCATGTCGAACCAGATGGATAAGGATGGATTATCTGACCGCATCACCACTGGTGTCCTGTCATCCGTCCCCACCAGTAGGGACGTCAAGATCATCAGTGCCAGCTTAACCTTCCACGGTCGTGTCCTTCTAAACGAAACCGACCTCGAACTCTCATTCGGACGTCGATACGGATTGCTCGGCGAGAACGGTTGCGGAAAGAGTACCCTGCTCAAGGCTATCGCTGCGCGAGAGTATCCAATCCCGGATCACGTCGATATCTACCTCCTAAATGAGGGTGCCCCACCCTCTGATCTTGGTGCTCTGGAGTGGGTTCTCAAGGAGGCTGAGAAAGAGATGGACCGTCTAGACAGACTAGCAGAACAGCTCCTTGAGGACGAGGGCCCTGACAGCCCTGTATTAATGGATGTCTATGAGGTATATACACATATACACCCGTCATTCTACCTTATTTATTTATACTAACAAATTCAAACAGCACATGGACAAGATGGATCCGTCCACTTTCGCTACTCGAGCCTCCCTTATTCTAACTGGTCTCGGCTTCAATAAGATCACTATCAACAAGAAGACCAAGGATATGTCTGGTGGTTGGCGTATGCGTGTTGCTCTTGCTAAGGCACTATTCGTTAAGCCAACCCTGCTACTTCTTGACGACCCAACTGCTCACTTGGATCTCGAGGCCTGCGTGTGGCTCGAAGAATACATGAAGAAGTGGGAGCGGACACTCATCTTGGTTTCTCACTCGCAGGATTTCCTCAACGGCGTGTGTACCAACATGATCGACATGCGAAAGCAGCAGCTCATGTACTATGGTGGTAACTTCGATTCTTACAACAAGACTCGCAAGGAACAGGAAATTAACCAGATGACTGCCTACAAGAAGCAACAAGAAGAAATCAAGCACATAAAGGAGTTCATTGCCAGTGCTGGTACCTACGCCAACTTGGTGCGACAGGCCAAGTCCCGACAGAAGATTCTCGACAAGATGATTGCAGATGGTCTCATCGAGGAGGTCAAGGAGGAGAGAGAATTCAAATTTCGATTTACTGATGTTGACAAGCTCCCCCCTCCGGTTTTGTCGTTCGACGACGTCACCTTCTCGTACTCGGGTGAGGCTAAGGATGACCTGTACCGCCACATCGATCTCGGATTCGATATGGACTCTCGAACGGCCCTAGTCGGCCCCAACGGTGTCGGAAAGAGTACTCTATTACGTCTAATGACCGGAAAACTTTCCCCGACTTCCGGCTCTGTTCGCCGCCACACGCATCTCAAGCTTGGCATGTACTCCCAGCACAGTGCTGAGCAGCTCGATCTGACCAAGAGCGCTCTTGATTTCGTCCGCGACAAGTACCGTGAGAAGTCTCAGGACTACCAGTACTGGCGACAGTGCCTTGGTAGATACGGAGTCTCTGGTCCCGTACAGACCGCCATTATGGGCACTCTATCCGAAGGCCAAAAGAGCCGAATTGTGTTTGCCCTACTCGCCATCGATTCACCCAACATGCTTCTTCTTGACGAGCCCACGAACGGTTTGGATATCCCCACCATTGACGCCTTGGCGGATGCCATCGACAACTTCACCGGTGGTGTAATTGTTGTTTCCCACGACTTCAGGTAAGAATTATCTCGGATTAGTGTTTTTATAAGTTGATACTAACATGGTCATAGATTACTTGACAAGATTGCGAAGCAGATTCTCGTATGCGAAAACCGAACGATCAAGCCTTGGGAAGGCACGATAGGAGAGTACAAGAACTATCTCCGAAAGAAGATGTTGGCTGCCGGTGCAGTCTAAGATACCCTTCACCTGTTATAATCGGTTTAGAGGGTCATGCGAACATGATGGTTCGCAGCAGTACTATATAATAGTACGACTTCAGGAATCCACACTTGCATGGTCGCGGCTCGGAGGTTCTATAGAATGGACATCGAGGCAGGAGCCGTAACCCTTGGATTTGAAAAGCTTATGATTTTTAAGCCTCGCTTTGCACACCACGGAAGCTAGCATCGGTTTATGCTAGGGTTTCGTGGACTGGAATAGACTTGTTAGATGAACTGAAAAATGATTATGAACGGAATACAACTTTGCTTTCCTGATACTTATGCTTCTAGTGTTACCCGCGCCCCCTGGTCCCCCAATTACCTTCTCACTAGATATCTTTCCTATCTAAGTGGACCGTCACCAGCAGAATTCCTTCTTGACCCCTAATCAAATCATATCCTGAGGCTCTATGTGGATCGTCTTAAACTAGGTAGACTTTCATCCCATCCTTCTTCCTATTACCAACCTCAAGCTCTTAGTGTGTAAACACCTACCCACATACCCACACCAAACACGCAAACTTTTTCTTCTGTCTCATTCAGCGAAGTTCCGCAGCCTCATAACGCGAAATTAGCTACTGTGTCTTTCATCTAATCCCCAGAAACGAATGGCGGACTTTGGGCAAGGCCGCTTGGCCCAATGGTTAAGGCGTCTGACTACGATCGGGTGCGATATTAAGTGATCAGGAGATTCTGGGTTCGACTCCCAGGGTGGCCTCTCTTTTTCGCGGGTGTACTGGTTGAATAGTTTATTTATCTAGGTACTTGGTTGATGTCGCTTGTCTACCTACCTAGGTAGGTAGTCAATTTTTTGGTAGGGTGGATGGGAGGAAAGGCGCTATGGGATAGGTAGTATTCAGGGATAGTAGGTGTAAAATTGAAGTTTTCTGTTTACCAATTATTACATACCTAGAGGTTTACCAGCATGAGAAGTTGGTGTATATAAGGCAGTGAGCGGTTTATGACCTGGTCCCCAAGCTACCATCAAGGGGAAAGCCGACCAGCTAAGGGATACACAACCAAATGCCTATCACAGCCCAAGGGCCAAAAGTCAAGTAAGACCTGTATCATCACTTACATAGCAATTTCCTACCATTGGATCGATAAAGGAAGAAACAAGTCACATTCCACGGCATTTAATAGCCCATAAGCACGGATCCAACACTACACGCCCAACCAACAGCACAAGGCATACACACACATAAAGTTTCAGCACTTTTAATCATTACTAACAACCAGATCGGACCAAGCTCCAACGCCACAGCGGGCATACATGCATTGATCGATCGGCTTTGACTCCATGAGGTTCCATGCCCCTCTATCGTAATCCTACAACGATAACAAACGGGGGGTTCTCCAGTCCACGAGAAAATTTTTTAAGTGTTGTTGCGAAAGCAAATTCCGGCATTTTGCAAAGTCTAGCCGCCTAATGCGACAAGTTTTGGTTCAACTCCCTCCCCTTACACACTACACCACCTAAATCCTCCCCTCTCTCAATGTTATCTCTCCCCCCTTTCGCAAATAATAGAAAACGACGATTAACTAAAGCTCTATGATGATTGTGTTTGTCCCGCCAAGAGCCCGTCTCTGCACATATGTAATCGATACCAAAACGCCGTGATCCTCTGGTTTTGTACAAGGTCTTTTCACTTCTGTTGCGAGAAGTACTATTGAGACCTGATAATATTTAGGTGACAAGTAACCTTTCGTAGTAGGTTAAATGTCGATCTCTCCATCGGCGATGGCGAGTCGCTGCTTCGTGGTCTTGGCTTTCTTACTGCCACTCTTACGCTTCTTAGCAGCCTTCGCGTCTCCAGCCTCAACGGGAGTAGCAGTACCAGAGGGTTTGTTGCCATCATCGAAGTGGCCCTCACCTATAGCAATAAAGTTAGCATTTTTATTCTGGTATTCGCTGTAGAATTCGTATAGTAACTTACCCTCGTGATACATTTCATCCAAACTGACTGCCTCCCGCTTTCTCTTATTGCCACCTCGCTTCTTGGATTGCTTGTCGAGCTCGCCGCTCTCGAGAAGTTCCTTCTCGCGTCGCTCGATGAGTTCGGCTTGCTCGTCATCAGCGAGCCACATGGCAATATCGCGGTTGCGATTTTCGGGCGGACGACGGCCGCTGAAGTCGACACCACGTGCACCACCTCCTTGAATAACAACTCGTTGTACTTCTTCCTTCTGCATCGCACGCTTGCGGATACGTTCCTCGATAGTACCACGGGTGATAAGACGGTAGACCGTAACTTGTTTCGTCTGACCAAGACGATGCGCACGATCCATGGCTTGCGAATCGATCGTAGGGTTCCAATCGCTGTCGTAGAAGATGACTGTATCAGCAGACGTGAGATTGATACCGAGACCACCGGCACGAGTAGAAAGTAAGAAGACGAAGATGTCAGGTCGGGTCTGGAAATCGTGAACAGTGTCACGACGATCCTCAAGTTTCGTAGAACCATCAAGTCGACAATACTTGTAGTTACGGTAGGTAAGGTACTCCTCCATGAGATCTATCATCCTTGTCATCTGGAAGTACAGTAGTACACGGTGACCTTCCTCTTTCAGCTTGAATAGTAGCTGGTCGAGTTTAGCGAGTTTACCGCTGTCAGTGACAAAACGACGCATGCTCGGAACGGTGATGTTCGTAAATCGTCGCTTCTCGCCGTCCGGTTGAGGAAGCATTGCTGGTGGCGGGTAGCGCTCTACCGGAACATTCTGTAGTACGAGAGCTTTCTCTTCCGGAGCATTAGGTCCGTATAATGTCTTTCGCATTCGGATGTTGAACAGCGTGTCTTCACGCTCGGCGAACGGGGCTCTGGTACCTTCGCATGAAACCTCAACGGGAGGAGCAGTAGCACCAGGCAGAGCCGCTTGTTCAAGTCGGCCAAGACCAGACTCTCGCCATGTTGATCGAGAAATGTTCATTAGATTGCCGAGTACGCCATCGTTCGTTATTTCGGCTAAAGGCTTACGATCTGAACGCGGCGCGATCTGGAATAACGCGTGAGCAGGAGTGTAGTTCTCCTCACCGGGTTCATCATATATCACATTCATTCGGCCGAGTCGGTTTGGTTTCTTCACAAGGTCTACAGCTCGTGAGAAAGCATCCTGGTGACTAGCCTTGTAGACTTCTTCGGGGCTAGTATCGGCGAATCGAAGGAAGGAGAATGCATCGGCGCTAGACGAGCTCTCACGCACGTTCTCCGGTGTCCAGATATTCATCATATGGTTTAGGTACTTATTTCTGAAACCGGCCTTCTCATTGTCTTTGCCAGCCTTGTACAATCGACCACCTTCCGTCCAAACCAGGCGTGGCAATTGGTAATCGACGAGATTTCGGGTCGAGTATCCAACGGAGACATTGTTTCCCTCGCGGACAAAGGAAGCGGTTTCAGCGAAGTAACCGGCGAAGAAGGGACTCGTTGTGTCTGCACGTTCGAATAGATCAGGATGATTGCACACCTTTCGGAATTGCATGACAAGGTTCATGAGTGTGCCTGAATCCTGGTCATCTCCAAGAGTCGCCTTCTCAATCAGATCCATGATACTGATCTGGTTTCGGAGGTTCCTGTAATAAGCGCGTTGTCTGTAAGTAAGCTCGCAGAATACATCCTGTTCAATCTTGTCACCAAGCTCCTTCTGCACATGCTTCTTCACACGACGCAACATGAACGGCTTGAGAATCAAATGCAACCGCCTAAGTTGATCCTCGTTAAGAGTCGTATTGCTCTGGGCGTGGGACTCGATATCCTTCGAGAACCATTCGCTGAATTCGTCGTGCGAGTCGAAAAGCGAAGGCATGATGAAATGAAGAAGAGCCCAAAGTTCTTGCATGTTGTTCTGGATAGGGGTACCAGTAAGAAGCAGTCTGTTACGGCAGTGGAAGCCAAGCAGACACTTCCAACGCGAACTTTGCGAGCTCTTGATAGCTTGCGCTTCATCAAGGATCATGTACTGCCATCGCATCTTCGCGAAATAAGCAACATCGGAAACAACAAGCTGGTAGGAAGTGACTAAGACGTGGAAAGGTGCGTCCTTTCGGTAAGTGTTATGTTTGCGATCCCAGAACTTACGCAGCACCTTTCGGTCACCAGCGGTACCCCAGTATGGGAGTACTTTGAATTCGGGGACGAACTTCGCAATTTCCTGTTGCCAGTTGTGTAGAGTAGAAGCCGGAGCAACTACCAAGTAAGGACCCCAGATATCATGTACTTCAGCAAGGTAGGCCATGACAGAGATAGACTGGACTGTCTTTCCGAGACCCATTTCGTCGGCTAGAATACCGTTGATGCCCTGTTCGTAAAGGTTGGCAAGCCAGTTTAGACCCTTCAATTGATATTCCTTGAGCTGGCAGTTCAGTAACTTCGGTTGCTCGACTGTAACATCACCAAGGCCGGTCGGGTTCTGGAAGTTCATCTCGCCATCTTCGTCCATATCATTGTCGGTCTTGTTGAAGCTTCGTGCTTTTTGTTGGGCTTCGGCAATAGCGTTCTGAGCATTCGCCATCGCAGCTTGTCTCAGAGTTTCCTCGTCTTCGGCATCAAAGTTCAGTTGGCTGAAGTCGGTGACCTTGCCAGCAGGTGCATCCGATGGCTCATTGATATCGACATCATTTGGCTTAGACACGGCGTTGGCATCCGGTGCGATATCCGGGTTGTCAGTGCTACGCTCCACCTCGTCCGTCTTAATCTTCTTGCCAATGAAGTGAGAGTACAGTTCAGTCTGCGAAATCAAGAAGTTGAGCTTCCTCTTCTGGCGTGCAGCTTCGCGGTCAGCTTCCTCCTTACGAGCATTTTCAAGCTCTTGTCGCTCTGCTGCCTTGCGTAGATCACGCTCTTCACGTTCGTTACGCTTCCAGAATCCCATCATATCGCGCATACAGCGCTTAGCACGGGCTTGAAGATCCTTCGTACCCTTGTTAGTACGAAGTTGCCATCGCTTCGCTTCCTTCGAAGCCAGGATAGCAGTCTTCTTGAGGTTGGAAGCCTTCGTGGCATAGGAATCGCTAGCCAACTTGTACGTCTTCGGGACATCTTTTCGGGCGAGGTCACGCCAGATCTGGTCATAAATCTGGTTGTAGCCCTTGGACTGGAACTTGAGTTCAAGAGGATTAAGAGGCGGCTCTTCGACAGACTTCTCCTTCTCCTTGGGTTCCTTCGTAGGAGTGTCCTTGGCTTCCTTATCCTTCTCTTTAGGCTCCTTGGTCGTAGACTTGCTCAACTTGATGCGAATCTTAGTCTCTTCCTTGGTTGGCAATTCCTCACCAGCATCCAAGGCGGCCTGGGCGGCGATAGCGGAGTCCTTCTCAGCTTGCTTCTGTTCCTTGGACTTCTTTGGACGGTTACCGCTACGATTCTTGCCCTTAGACTTAGAGCCAGCTTCCAGGTCGTTAGCTTGGAAGGTCGACATAGTACCACCTTCTAGGTTTAGTTCAAGAGGCGCCAGGTTTCGAGCTGGGCCCTTAATACCCTTTTGCAAGATCAGTTTCGTCTGCTGTGCCTTCTTGTTCGCGCGTTCCGCATCTCGCAGGTACTTCGCTCGTTCGGCATCGTCTTCGGCAGCAAGGGCTTTGGCCAGGGCAGCTTCTTTCTGCTCGATGGTAACTTGCATAGACTTTTCTCTGCGACGCTTGCGTTGCATGTCCTTCTTGCGTTCCTTCTCGGCAAATATTTCGCGTTCTCGAACTTCCTGTAGAGCCTCGTCATAATGTTC